ACAGTTACCCCCAATCCCGAACAGTCTGCGCCAGGCCACAGACGGGCGGGGTGTAGCGTCTCACTCCGGCTTGCGCGCGCACACACAGCTCGGGTCATTTCTTCCATCATGTACTTCAGTGCGTTAACGTTTACCTAGTGTGACAGATCTGTATTATTCATGCTCCCCTGCTTTATGAATTTTGATACCTAATGTTGTTTGGATTCTATTAAATTTGTCAGAATTCACATTATCAGGGTACCAGAAGGACAGGTCAGCTATAATCTTCTGCTCGTTCTATGCTTCCTGGATCTTTAAAAGCCTGGGTTAGCTGGTAGCATGGCAGTATTTGTTCTGTGAACTGCATCTCTCCAATTCCTGGTAATTATTGCAGATCACTCTTATTTATATGTGTTGTGCACGAGCTGTGGCCTTGCTAAGCGGTTTTGCACTTTAGAATTAAAGTAGGGACTAGAAAGTTAAATCTACTGGACTGGGACAGGCGTCTGGTTTGCATGATGAAAGGTTTTGCCACTTGTTTTGCAGATCTGTAGCTTTGTCACTTGTCTGTGTTTCTACCCCTGCGCTATACACTGGTGTTACCCACTCAGCCCATGGCAGGTCAGAGTGGGGGAAACTCAAAAAGCGTCGTACAATAGTGCACGTAATAGGTACACCCCAGAGTAAAAATCAGATTGGAAAAGAAGAAGCAAAATCAAGATTAAAACTATAATGTACCCATTAAAAGGTTCAGATGAAAAGATCTTTAAAGTGAGTCTAATGGGTTTTGGGAAATTAACAACCCAGGCGATGTTTTCCACTGCCAGCATTAGTGGCATAGCTGTGACAGACAAGCCAGGATGAGGGAGAGAATAATGAATTGCCTTCAGGCTTGGACAAAGGTGTGAAGACCATGTAAAGAGTGTTTCTTGTCTTTATTAAAGAAACTATTTTGTTCTTACTGATTGGGATTGATCTGTATTTGTTGGGTGACACAGAAATCCAGAAACCCTACATGCATGGTCTGTCAATCGGTGCCCGGCTTGTACAGATAAGTGTCTTTGTCCTCCCATTCAGAGGAAGAAATCTCGGAAGAAGCTGAAGACCGAGAGGGTGGCCGCAGCCTCTAAGTGGGAGGAGCTATGGCTGGAAGAGGTGGGACCACAGCAGGAAGAGGTGGAGTTAGACTGCAGAGGAGAGAGGGAGGAGCCAGTAACCACGGAGACTGCCGAAAGCCTAGCTGACCGAAGCCCAGAATCCACTCCACAGGTAAAGTGCGCATCAACCCTAGTGTACAGGGTCACAGTGAGATTTCATTTTGCCCAAGAGTCAGAGCTGCAGGGTAGCATTGTCTAGTCCCGTAATCCGTAAATATAAGTATTTTTACTTCCACAGAAAGATTGCCTCAAACCACAGAAACACCGCATGGATTCCAAGTTAAAATTTCTCATTGTACGTTTTGCAATGTACATCACGTGCCTGTTTTTTTTTTTTTTCCCACTGTGAGAGATGTATAAATCCTAAAGGAAATTATTATAGATTTGGATCTGGGGGGGTTATGTCTCAGTCACCTACACACAGATGCACTATTTGACCCCTTGAAAATTCCCTGCTGCCTGGATGCTACTCTGTCCATTACAGGCAATAATACCATACAGTTAGTTCTTGACCTAAGCTGAACTGGGTTTTTAACTTATGCTGGGGTTTCCAGGAATGCATCTGCCATGTACATGCAGTTCTCAGTTTGCTACGTATACTGCGGACCGAGCTCAGGATTGCTTGCTTTGGACCGTGTGATCTGCACGCTGTCACCTGGAGATTGCCCTGCCGAATGCTGGCGCGTGTTGGCGGTGTTCTCCCGTTTTGAAGTGCCCGTCTCGCGTCTGTCCCAGGAGCCCTGGCCGCCGGACCACAGCTACGCCCTGGCCGAGCCCGGCGAGGTGAAAACGCGCCTCTTCAGCGCGCTGGAGGCCAACGAGCGCCTGCGCGGGAGGTTAAAGGTCAAGTGCAGGCGGCTGCGTCAGACGAGCGCGCGGCTGCGGGCGGCACGGAGGCAGCTGGGGCGCCTGCGGACTCGGCTCGGCCGGGCCCGGGCAGAACCGGGGCACCCCCCGCCCACAGAGCCCCGGGACCCCGCGGAGCAGCCACGAGCGAGCTCTGGCCAGCCCCCGGAGAGCCCAGAGGCGGCAAACTGTCGAGAAGGGGATGGGAGCAGACGCCCTGTGGGAGACTGCCTGAACCTGGACTAAGAGTGCCTGTTCCGTTTTCTAGAAAACATGATTTTTATTTATTATCTTGTTTTGGCCTCAAGTTGAGCGATCAAGATGCTGAGTAGGGAGAACCTGAGATTAGACTCCTGAAGTAGGTCCATCACAAGAATGGATTCTCCTTCCTGGGGTGGTCTGTCACTCTGTTCAGAGATCAGCCTTGGGGCTGAGAGACGGAAATTGTATCCAGCCAGCAAAGAATGCTCCATGAGCGGGTCTCGACTCTTAAGGTGCTATCAGGTACTGTTCCCCTGGGTCAAAGCAGCGTGCTCTGAATTCAAGGAGGCATCAGAGTGTTATTTAAACTGAGCTTGAGAAGCAAACGTGCAGAGAGCACCCAGTGTACTACCATATAGACCATCACACCTGTATAAAATAAGAACCTTCCCATCATTCTTTGTCCTTGTAGCCTAATTGATCTTACTGGTTCATGAAGGATCCCAGATTCATAGTGGTGTCTCACCAGGCAGTGCCAGACATCTCATTGCAGTCATCTCAATCCGTGGCCCTGTCTGAAGCACCGTAATGCCAGTGCGCTGTGCTGCGTAATCTTCAGGAAGGTTTCAGGAAGCTGGAGCTATGGAGTCTTTTAACACCCGGAACATCCTGTCTAAAACAGGATTGTTTGTGGCTCCTACCCACCCAATGATGGGTAGCTAGTAGTCTAAACGAACAGGTTATGGGTCAGTTCTGTTTTTTCAAAACCTTCTTCAGACAATTCCATGGATGTAAAAAAGGAATTGGATTGACCTCAAATATGAGAAAGGAGGACATTTCAGGAAGGAGAACTGGAATGCTGCTGTGTACGTTGCCTATTTGTAAGACCGGCCTGACTGATTAGTGTAACTGCCATGCCCTTGCAACGAAGTGAAATAATTAATTCATGATTAATTGATATTCATCGGTTTTGCTTATGGTAATTAGAATTTGCTTAAAACCAAATTATTTGTTCTAAGACCTGAAGCAATATATTCAATAACTTGGTAACATTTACCAATAAAAGAGTAATTTATTAAAGGAACAAATGCAGATGCCTACTGTTACATGTGTGCTGCTTTTTAGCAGGGTGCTTGGGGTGAAATGTGAAACTATAGATTCAGTGAAACTATACTGAGAAAATTGCAAGGCTATCAGTCCAATTTTGGGTGAAAAAAAATGTTTTGGTTCTTGGTTTTTAAACAGAATTGGTTTGTCAGTTTTGCACACCTGGAGAAAAGCTAAATTTCACAAAATGTCAGCATGTCTGATAGTGCACACCATTTCATTACACTTAAGTCACTCATTATTACTGGGTTACTGCTTTTGAAA